ACATAAAGAAAATAGTATAAAAGTAAGACGGGGATAGGGAGAAAGTGAGAGAAGACCTCCACCAAAACTGTTGGGATCAGTCGATGGGCTGAGGCCATTCCCCCCCTCCCTGGAGCGATGCCTTGGGGGAGAAATATACTCTAGGCATATTAAATGCTGCTTTTAGGACTAGAGCTCTTGTTTGTTCTTTTCTCTTAGCATATCAGTTAGATTGCTTCATATCAGAGCTTGTGCTTAATTAATATATGTATCAGTAGATTGCTTTAAAACATATTTTTGCAGTAGACACTCTCACCTTCAAACCTTTATTAAACGGTCACAATTAATAAAGAGTGTTATTCCATGAAGTGTTAAAGTGAGTCCTTGAAGTTGCCAGCAGTGGAAAACACCATGGCAGGACCCGTTGAGGGGTCTTCACTCTGTTAAGTCCCCCTCACAAGGGCAGTCAAAGCACCCTCTGACCTTGTAAATCTGTTGGTGAAGGGTCTTGTTATAAGTGACGGCAGAGAAAACCACAAAAGCAGTTAAAAACGACTTAGTTGGTAAAACACCTTGCCCTGCTGAGCCAGGTGAATTTAATTGCCTAGTGTTTGCTCTGCCTCTTTTGCTAGAAGAACATTGTACAAATACTGGTTAATGTCTTGTTCTGTCCTGACTAATGCACCAAGGTTTCATTATAGAAAGAATGCTAGGGAGTACTACGAAATAGGCCATAATGTAATAAATTAGGTAAACTACATGTTTAAAGTAGATATAGGAGGCCCAGAGCCAGGATTTTGCAAGCTTGAAGAATCTAGGTCACCTAACAAAGAAAGTTGAAAAGTTCAACCCTAAGGAAGACAACCATGATGACCCCCATAACGATGGAGGCTCGGTGTCAACCACCCCAGTGAAAGACTGAGCATGTGCCAATGAAGATTCTCAAAAGCTCTGCCTAGACTCCATCTGGACTCCACCTAGTTATTAATGTGCATGTCAGAAGGCGTAACTGTGTACCTAAAATGTATAAAATGGCTTGTTTTACACTTTTGGGAGAAGCGAGTCTGTGCAGTGCAAAGTGCCTCGCTCCCAATGCTGCAATAAACAAATACCTTGCTGCTTAAACATGCAAAGTCTGAGTAGTTCTTTTATGCCAAAGTTTTTCGGCATCACAAGACACTGATAGACTGTTGGGCAAGATGGTATCAACTTTTCTGGGGTTACTGACTGGCAAAAATCCAAACTCCCACCTTTCATGTGACAGTGTCCATCAACACTTATACATAATATCTGAGAAGTGAATTAGTCTAAACTCTGGTGGTAATAATTTAATTATAACAGCATTGGCACTTGTCTTAGTTTAACAAGATTACAACTTTAAAAAATTAAGAAACTTCAAGTGGAAGTGTGGAAAAGGAACAGCTTTTTATTAACAAAATCTGAATGAACAACAAATGGTGTAATCAAAAACTTTCAGAAGAAACAAAACAAAGTCCCAATTCCCCAAGTGGGAGGGAGAAACCCACAGCAACCTGGCAGGGGGGTGAACAGGACTGTCCTGGCAGTTCAACAACTGCTCCCAGCCACGTGTTCTCACAGCCAGTACTGAAAAAAAAAAGTCATTTTTCCCAGAGGCAGTTCAAAGGCAGAACACCTCGCTCTGAGATGGGTTGCTCTCTCTCTCTCTCTCAGTCATTCTCCGTGAGGTGTCCCGTGGGGGAAAAAAAACCCCTTCCTCTCAGGAAAAGAAAATGAGGCAGACGAAACCAGGTTCCCCACTCTGTCCGGAACAACAGAGTCCCAGCCGTCCACACAGCCACCACGTTTCCCGAGAGCGCTTGCCCTCTCTCCCCTGCTGCCCAGCTTGCGTGGCTTTGCTCCCCCCCCCATCCCGGAAAAAACAGATGGGAGGGGGGAGGGACATTGGGAAAAAATTCCAACATCTCTTTTTGCCCCAGTTTAAATGAGACAAGGGTCTTTTGCTGAGGATGAGTTACGAGAAAAGACCCAAACTCCTCCCTCTAAGCAACTATAAATCCAAAATTAAGAGGCTCCAATTGAAGGAAAAACAGATTATGGAAAAGGAAAAATAACAGCCCTTTATTAAAAGGTATGTGTGTATTAAGAGAGAAAACACAAAAAAACCAAATAAAACACCTAAACAATACTCCTATACCCACAAATAATTCTCTTCAAAAAAACAAACCGATAAACAGGCAAAGGGAAAAGTAAACAGTTCAAATTTGTGCCCTTTGGTGCAATTCCAACCACAGTCAATAGGGGGTGCCGTTAGGTCACTGGAGACGCAGAGCTTGTAGTGTCCTATAGCAGTCATCAGGTGGCACTGTTGAATCACTAGAGGTGCAGAACTTGTAATGTCCTGTGCCTGCCACCAGGTGGCGCTGTGAGATCCCTGGTTACTGCCACGTGGTGGGGGGGAAGGAGAACACCCTCCGGGGTGTGTCAGAGAAAAAACAAAAAAAACCTCGGTTCCCCTTCCCTTCCCACAAACCGGGAAAGGGGAGAGGGAGAGGGGGAAAGGGAAAACAGCAACAAACAGAAAGTTCTCCCAATGGAAGAAAACTCACAATCTTCAGCTGGTCGGAATTCGCTTCAGGCAAAACCTGCAGCTAGCAATGGCTGAGCAGAGAGAGCAGCAGCAACCTCTCCCTCCAACGCTGTGTTGCAGCCCACAGCCCCGCCCACCAAAAAAACCTCCTCCCCCGTTGCCCAGGAGATGAGAGAAAAAGGTAAACATTAGCCTTTCCTCCATTCCGTTTCCTAGGAGACTATCAGCCATTAGCCAGGCCAGCTAACCTTTTATACTCTATAAGTATAGCTCTTGATGGCTTCTAGCCATCTTGATGACCTCTAGCTCTGATAGCTCTTGATGGCTTCTACGACCAGGGGGAAGGGAAAGGAAAAATTCCTTGTTTAGCTAAACCATGACACTTTTCAAACCTATGACAGTGCTGACACATTTTTCACAGTGAGAATTGCTGTCTTTACTAGTGAGAGTTGGTCCTTTGGATTTCTATGTCATACTGCAACAGTCCCAGCAAACAAATGGTTTAAGGGCAAACAAAACCTCTAATTCTTCTGGGGCTCTCACAAATAGCTAATCCAAAACTAAGCACCCATTTGAATTCCAACACCTTGAAAACAAAAATCACTTGATCAGTATATAGGTGGTATGCACAGCACACACCTTTGCACACAAAGTGAAGTGCCCTATATCTGCTGCTGCCCATCACTGCATACAACACAGCACCAGGAAACCAATTACCCTGTCCCTCTTCAGCAGTAATCTGTGCCCTGCCTTTGGTGATTTCATTCCCTCAGCACCTCTCTCCCTTGTTCCTGTTATTGCATTTAACCGAATGAACCAGAACACCAATTTCTGTGGAATCAACTACATGTGTTCTTCCTTGAATCAAAGCATTTATGTCAATTCTATTATGAATCTCTCACCACCCAGAATCTGAGACCAGAAATAGAAGTTAACTCCATAAGTCACTGTTTGGGAATGTGTCAGTAATTTTTTCTCAGAAAATTACAAATTTACCATCTTTCCAGAGAAACATGAGTTTCAACCAAACTTCTAAGAAAATGTTCCCACGTCCTGATGGATAAGTTACAAGTCCTTTTTTCTTTTTTTTTTTTTTTTAAGTTTGCTACTGCTTTTCATTTTTTAAAATTCTTTATAGGGTTTTGCTATTTTAAATGTAGAGTTAAAGTTAGACAAGGAGAAACAAATATATTTTAAAAAGTATATTTTAAAGAGGAGTCTGAAAGTTGCTCCTTATTGGGAGATACTGACACAAAAATTTGTACACACTGACAATAATGAAAGTACATTATTCGCTTATGGGGGTGTCTGCACACATGAAACAGTCACCATGCAGATCACCATGAGTTCCTCTCAAGCAACTCACACACCAAACCTCTGGTAAAAGAAGACTGCAAACAGAAGTGGTAACATAACAGGTGATACCCAAAACATTGTGAGGATTAAAAACATTGCTGTGATGCCAAAAGAGCCTGATAAGGTTATACACCCAGACAGGTGTACAGTTATATGCCAGTCTCTCTCAAACACCAGGCTGACAGGCTTCTACAGAAATTGTTGTCAGCTAGATTTGTTCTTTGCTGGTGGCTATGCTTCTGCACACAGGGCCACTAAGACAATCAAAGGGACGGAACGCCTCTGCTACAAGCAAATGCTGAGAGAATTGGGATTGTTCAGCTGGGAGAAGAAAAGGTTCCAGGGTGATCTAATTGTGGCTTTCCAGGACCTGAAGGGAGCCTACAAGAAAGCTGGAGAGGGACTTTGAACAAGGGCCTAGAGTGACAGAACAAGGGAATGTAGGATATTACAATCTAGGAAGAAATTCTTCTTCATGAGGGTGACAAGGTACTGGTCGCTCTGGTTGCCCAGAAGCTGTAGTTGCCTCATCCCTGGAAGGATCCAAGGCCTGGTTGGACAGGGCTTGGAGCAACTCGGCATAGTGGAAGATATCTCTGCCCATAGCAAGAAGTTGGAACTGGGTGGTCTTCAAGGTCCTTTTCAAGTCAAATCATTTGGTGATTCCATTTCTCCCCAGTGGTTTAGCCGGCCTGGGTGCCAGCGCCTGCCTCGGCTGCGCTCAGGGCTCCTCACGCCTCGACCGCGGCTGCCCCGGGAGAGCCCGAGACCCGCGACGGCTCCTCCGCCTGGCCCCGCCCCTTCCCCTCCCCGCCCAATCGGCACCGCCAGGTGCGGGGGTCCGCGTGCGCGCGCCGACGCCACAGCCAATGGCAGGCGGCGGCAGCGCACCCCCCCCCCCACACACACCCCCCCGCCATGCGGAGAGAGCGGCGCGAGCGGCGGCCCCAGCGCCGAGACCCCCGGCCTCACGGCCCCACAGCCCCCGGTCCCACAGCCCCCGGCCCCACAGCCCCCGGCCCCACAGCCCCCAGGGCCGCGCGTCACGGTCCCCCTCGCCCCGCTCCGGCGGGCCCGGGCCCGTCCTCCCACTCACCCGCCACGGGCGCGGGCAGCCCGGTCCTGCTGGCTGGAGACGCTGCAGGACTGCGGGAAGGACAGGGGCGGCGGCGGCTTCCCCGCGGGCTCCCGGTGCTGTCGGGGCGGGCGACCCCGCTCCTCCCGCGGTGTCGGGCCGAGCCCAGCACCGCTGCGGGCGGGGCAGGGCTGCTGGCGCACAGCGGCGGCGCAGACGCTCGCGGGGGCCGCCGGGAGCCGCAGTCCGGGGCCGGAGCTTCCGCCGCTCCCGGCGCGGGTGTTGGCGGGGCACGGCCGGCCCGGCCCTGCCCTGCTCTGCCCTGCTCTGCCTTGCTCTGCCTTGCTCTGCCGCGGGGGCTCTGCCCACAGCACGTTTGTCCCCCGGCCGGGGAACGAGAAGGGTCCCGGGGCCTCCCTGTCAGCCCTCTCCACACGGATCGTCCAAGCTGTACACCCAGAGCTGCTCCAAGCCCTGCAGAAAAGATGCTGGCATAGGCGGCAACAGCCGCCACCAGCAGAAAGCCTGATTTTGGGTTAATCAGGAACTTCATAGCAAAGCAGTCTTTTATTTCAATTACAAAGACGTTAGGCATAATGGATCCTATCTACGAGATCCTTTTTCCTGTCTAGAAAGAGGCAAATATTTTATCTGACATCACTATTACTTTCCTTTGAATTTAGGTTCAATGTGGTAAATGTGGATGGAAAGTTTTCCATTCAAAGGAAAATGCTGTATTTCAAAATTTGATCCCAAGGATGGCTCAGAGCTTTTTTCTGAGCTGCTTTAAATTTTTTTAAATTTTCATAGATTTTAGAAGTAGATGTGTAGTGAATATAGATGTTAATGTAGCTGTATTATATCCCTTACCCTGTAGCATAATGTTTACACGTACCCAACCCTACTGCACTATTTCATATCAATTCCTCTAAAATTCCGTTAGCATGTTTAGTCTTTTTTTCAAGGTAGAACTGTAGAAAAACACCTGAAGGCCTGGACCAGAAGATATCACACAACAGCGGCCTTCAAGCCCAGAACTTTGGAGGAACTCCAAGGACTGTATGTGCTGCGAAGAAGACATTGAGGAAGAAGGGGTCCCAAATGCCCCCAGACCCAATTCCCAAAGGGATGTGTCAGGGGGCAGAACCAGGAGTGGACAAATCTGGGATTGGATGGACCTTACTATAAAATCATAGAGCCACTGTCTGGGTGTGCGTGTGTGGTATGTATTCCTCTAGGCCTACGGACTCATTAAAGGATGTCTCTCTTGTCTTATACACTAAATTGGCCTGGAGTCTTTTTCTCTGCAGTCTTTTAAGCAACACCAATTAAATGCTATTAAAAACAATTAGTTTTTAAATCAAACTGGTTTTCATAAGCATCAACATTTTGTCTATAGTGTTTATAGTGTGTATAGGACTTAAAATGTTCATAAAAACACTAACGGTATTTTCAAAACATTCACAGTGTGTTTAGAGTTGGTCAAGAATAACCACCAAACACTGCAACTTCCAAGTAAATCTCGTTTGTAAAAGAAGTGGAAGTGTGCTTAGCTGAAAGCATTCATATTCCTCCTAGTTGTAATAAATAGCAATACATACATCTGGGGAATAAAGCTCAGAAGCTGGGAAAGGGCCCTGCAGGAGATGTTGTGGTACCATCACTGTTGAGGCTGTGGACTTGGTGCAAAACAAACACCCAGCTGCAAACACTAACCAGAATCTCCGGAGCAAACAGATCTGAGTGAGAGCAAACGATCTGAGTGAATCCAGATGTCATGGCTCTTTTAGTTCCTTGCCAGTGTTCAACTGGACATCACTAATCTCATAATTTACATTGTGGGAGACAGAGCATTCTGCAGTGGCCTATAAAAACAAACACCTCCAAAAACCCAAACCCCAACCACCAAAACACTCCAAACACCCCAAAAGATTAAAAAAAGCCATCTCCTACTGACTGCCACCTTAACCTAAATCAGGAGATTTCGCCCTGCAGCATTTGGGTGGTTCCTTTTTGCAGACTGTGAAGGGAAAGGCATAATGCTGGTGAAAAACTTCAGCACAAGGGACACCAAATCTTTCTAACCATCCACAAACATTTTCTTCACCAATTTGTCAGTTCCCTTTGCTGTTTAGATGGTATTTTTAGTGGAAGGTATCTATAACTTCATGCTACCATCTTCCAGCTGCACCTTACTGCACACGCAGCCTGTACTGGCCATTTCATGTAGGTTTAGATATCCTAAGTACACCCTGCCCAGAAGTTACTCAAGCAAATCCTTCTGGAAGACAGGAGGAGTTTACCTTCCTAAGAAATGGCAGCTCGCTGCCAGGATATCACTGGAAGGCCGTGTCCAGACCGTGTTCCGCAGGCATGGATCATTCTAGGGGCAGAGAAGATGCCTTTTGGTTCCACAGCATGATCACAAATTATTGTGAGAATCATACACAGCAACTGCTTCTAGCTGGTAGGACCATTGTTGCTACCACATGGTGTGAGACACTGAAATGCTATAGTTAATGGCTTAAACGTTGTTAAAATCACCAAAGGATTTTTGTCCACTTTAGCAAAATGTGCAAAGAAGCAACTGCTCATCTGCAACCACAGAACCCCATCCCTCCCCACATATGCCTCCTGACAGGAACTGGACTGTGAATTAAGCCACCTGATGAGAACTTGAGATAAGATATTGTCTAAATATCTCAGGTCTAAAGAGAAGTAAACAGACCTGAGGGGAGAAGAACGTGTCCACAGAGAAAGCCATTCTCAGCAGCTATGTTGAAAATAAGCTCTGGCTGGGTTGGCGGGAGTGGAAAACCCTAACTCACAGACTCATTTGCTGAGGCGAGGTTTGCACTGCCTAAGGGGCACACCCTTCAAGTCGGAATGGTGCTCTTTATGAAGATAATTGTCCTCTGCTCAATTTTAAAACTAGCCCATCTCACCCTCCCCCCCACAAAGGTGTGATAAGGCATTATGAGAGGCAGCTGTCATATCTTAGAAGGTGTCATAAACCATCATGACCCCCTGAGGCCTTCCACTGGCCTTCCACTGGCCTTCCTACATGTGATCCAAAAGTGTTGCAACAGATCCAGTCTGTTGCAAGAGACTGTAAAATTTCCCACCCACCCACAAGGGAGGTACTACAGTGTTCCCACCTAGCCTGAGAGCATTTTAACCCATTCGACTTTGTGTTCCATGGGCTTTCCCCTCCACCCAACAGATCCAGGCTGCAACCGTCACTTCGACACACGAACATCAAAATTACAACAATCAAGTGACATCACAGGTTCCAAAGGTAGTGAATGTACACCTTTCTACTCTTATCCTTTCTTTCTCTTTCTTTTCTTTTATATATTTTCTTAAGTAATATTTTTATACTTTCATATTGCAATATTACTAGAGATAATAATAACCAAAACAACTACATACCTACTCTCCGTTGCAACCAAATTATTGTAAAATAAATTCTACACATATTTATATTTCCAGACACTGATCATTCAGGGTCATCTCACTAATCTACCTCTAGAGATCTATTAGTAAGAGCCTGGGTTACCCTTCCCTTGTGAGGCAGGCCATAACACCTGGGTCCTCAGAAGAGTGGAAATTTGGTATTTCTCTGGGTCAGGATTCTTCCCACTTTCCTATATCCCTCTCTATGACTTCTTCCAGCCACATGAAGCTATGAAGTTGGACTGCAGAGTCTGCAAACTATAAGAAAATCTACCCAACCCTCACAGCACAGGGTTCATAGTTCCTCGCTGTGCACTGCTCCTTTTATATTTAGATATAATCTCTTTCCTTCTCAAAAATGATTTTTTTAATAACAACTCTCAAACCAGTGTAGCTTCAGTTCAGCCCAGGAACAGTAACATGCTATATGGGTCACAGCACAGCAGTGATGACAGAATGGAACAACACTATAGTGACTCATATTTTTCCAGCACACAGATCCATATGAGCTTATTTTATGCTCCTTTACCCATTCTCATTTGCCTGAGTTGTCTAGATTTTTCTGCGGTTTTCTTTCACTATTTTTTTTTATTTGTGTTAAATAGTAAATAAAGGCATCCAGTATTTTTACTTTCAATATGGTGCATGTGATGAGGCTGCTGAACACATGGGCAGTGCAAATATTTGGCTAGTAAAAGCACAGGCACTGTTTTCTCCTCTCATTTATTGCTCTGTCCTCAGTTAAGCATGTTGTAGGGAGCTTTGCAAGAAATTGTCTTGGTTCTATGTCCCCCCACACTGATATCTTAGATCAAGAACCTTCTATTACCATCATTCTTAATGACAATATGAGGTCTATAGAGCAGGCAAGAATTTTGCATTGGCTTGTGAACTGTAACTCTTCTAAAAGAAGAGGGAAGCATTTAAAAAATAATTCACCATTTGTCACAGAGGATTACAGTGACAATAAATATGCATTTTTCCAAAGATCAGAATAAAACCTCCCAACTTAACATGCTATCCAAAATTGCAGGTGCTAGCAACAGATCTCCCCTAAATGCATTTTCTTCCATCAAAAAAGTTTGAAAATCCAGAAAATCTCTGTGGTGAGATGTTTCAGTAATCACAGTGGGTTAACATGGACATTAAAACCATCCATGGCTGCTGAATAATTATCCATGTCTCTGAACAGTTGCTGTCCTTGCAGGCTTGTACAGACACTGATGTAGAAGCTTGTGCTTCCCAAATTTTCCTCCTAGCCACACCAGCCAGGGACCAAGTGTCTCTAAAATGAAAGCTGAGAGTGTTGTACACAAGATGGCACAGAGGGAGAGGTGCCAGCATCCCACCAGGTACCCTGGGCCTGCTCCAGCCCAGTGCCAGGCTTACATGGCCTGGTGGAGAGTCCTGGGCAGTAGATAGGACAACATGAGCAAAAGAGAAATGCAATAGCTCAGGTCCAGAGCTAAAGCACTGTGAATTCATTCAATGATACAGAAGCCAGCAGTGCTTGTGCCTCATATGTTCAACCAGTCCCTCAAATAAACTTACATTGTTTTTTGCACTTAGGAGGAAATTAGAGCAGAAGTTTGCCAGCAAATCATTATTATCCAAGAGAAGGTTTTTGGGGTTTTTTGCTTTGGGTTTTTCTTTCCCCTTCATGCTCCTTCCTAAGAAATCTTTGCCAGTGTGACTATGGAGCCTA